GCAAAACATAAGAGTGCCCCCCCCCCCCCTCCCCCCCTCACTCCCCTCCCCATCGCTGGTTGAGACTCTCTCGACAGAACAAGGTTCTTCCTCCTCCTCCTCCTCCGAAGAAGTGTCCGTTTCGGACTCGGAACTATCTCCTCCCCGCTCCCAGCCGGAGGGTGTCGGCAATGGCGGCGGCGCGTTGAACACCGACGGCCGCCTGCGGAGGATGTTGCTGCTCCGGCTGTTTGCGGACGCCTGGCTGGACGTGACGCTGCTAGCGTCCTCGCTGTCTGCCGGCGAGGCGACTGCTGCGGCAGCGCCGTGGAGGTTGCTGACTTTCACATTTACCGACACCGGCGGGTGCAGTTGCTCCTCCTGCCATCCAAGAGCGGACAGTTTGGGCGGCGGCAGGGTTCTAAGAGAGGATGACAAAAAACGACTGATTGCTGTGGTGATTTACAAGCATTTTTGCATGATTGTACGAATGTTCCCTAAAACAAAGACGTCAGGAGGCGCGAGTAGAGCAAGATCAGATATCGGGTGCAGTCTTATCTATTGCCTATGTACTGCACAATGGAAGAAGAGAGGGAATGAGACAGAGAGGGAGGTACAGTAGTACCCTTGAGTAAGCCGCACACTTAATCGTGTAGAAAGTGGAAAAAAATAGTTGGTATGGGTTGAAAAACGGGGGCGGGGCTGGCTTGTACATGTGAAGAATCAAATGGTGGTGGGTTAATTGAGTGGTAAAGTGCAACGAAGGACGACTCCCGATAAGTCAAGCACTGCGCATTACGCTATCGAAAACCCGAAAAACCACCTAACAACAGACACAACATCATCATCAACAACCAACAGCTACAACAATGACAACAAAACCAAACTACAAGGCAAATAATCATATCATCATCATCATTTATCACGAACAACAACAAGCAATACACGAGGGAGAGGGGCACCATCTCCTCTGTTCAGCGTGCCAGCAGTACATGTAGCATTCCAGCAGTTTGTCCGTCTAGGCTCACCGTGTTGGGAGGGGACGGTTGGGATGAGGCTAGCAGCAGTCCCGCAGAGGCGTCTAGGTGGGCCTCTGGGTAGTCTGGAAGTTCCGCCGATATGGTTATGAACCTGAGCACGTGGTATATACCACGGCAGTAGTACAAGGGTCAACGCGAAGACAAGAGTGTACGAGTGCAGTTTCACCACATAGAGTTCGTGATCCCAAGCATTTGGACTCCCTGGTGAATACTGTCCAGCAGTAGTGGTCGCTGCATAAGGAGGGAAAAGTGAGGCCGGCAAAATCGCCCTGTGCAAGGCCGGTGGGATCGCGTGACGCAGACGGACAGCAACAATCAAGTGGTCTCATGCCCTGAATAGTGCCAGGATCTCAGCACAGACGAACCCCTGGCACTACTATGCGGCCTAATACAGGTACCCGTACTGTATCGTACTGTATCATATCGTAGTAATCAACTCCTTGGCGGCACAACTGTTCGAAGAGGAGTGAATGTACACAGAATCGACGGATGATAACCTCTTAACAGTTCAGACCGGTATATGTTGACTGTAAAACAGCAAGGCACCGTCGCGCCGACGCTGTCTACCAAAGCACAAGCAGTGATGATGCCGACGACACCGGGATGGGACAGCCGTTGCGCGGGGTGCGCCTGCTGTTGGTTGCCGAGGGTGTACATGACAAGCAGCTTCGTCTCTATCAGCACCACCCCTTCAGTTGCTGTTACTTCCTTGGCGATTAGCGACACACCACCGACTGATGCACTGCTGTTCCTACATCTCCGCAGCAACATCCGTTGTGCCGCTATGCTTAGAGTTGCACCAAAAATCGCGAGCGTACAAACGCTAACAACCGAGCACGGCACATGGCACAATCTAGCCGAAGGTTTGACGACAAGAGAAGCATCGGTAACAACACTCCTTGACGTTATGTTACTGTTGCAGCAGCGCGTACGAAACGCCTCGTAGAGAACAGCACTCGAAGGTCAGGGAAGCACAAGTTTTCTGCTTTCTTTCAAGGGCGTTCATGGGACACGAGACAACTCCCGGTGTACGATTAAAACCATCGAAAAGCATCGTACAGCTTCTTTCATGATCGGCCTTCATAGATAACTACTACTGACTGCAGACTGTAGATGGCGCCCGACCGTACTGTATCGCACGTATGCACACGTCCTCTCGTTTGATTGCCGGAATAGACAATGCCAATGCCTCACCTTCCACTCCTGGCCTGCGAAGGCTGCTGCTGCCTTTTTGAGGGTTCCGCAGGGATGACCGAACCATTCCCTTGGGCGATCAGCCCGGACTATTGATATTGATAGGCCATCGAGGCACCAAACCGGTGCAGCAGTAGACAGGGTATTTTGCGGCAAAAGGACGCATCGGTTGCAGAATTTAGGGTGCGGGTCGGGAGGGTGAATGGCCTCGAAAGACCCCCAAAAAAGTAACCAACAAGCAACAACCAACATGGCCGTTACACGTATGCACAGCCCGGACTGATTGTTACAGTTGAACCCTGCATGCACTTTTTGCCGCTCGTCGTCCGAAGGGATGCCGGAAAAAAGTCTTGCAACACGCAACACTCTCACGACGAGCTGGTCATTTTTCGTTCTTAGCGCCTTCGGTTGCCGTGAAAACAAACACAAGTCTCGCGCATGTGGTACGTCGGGTGCTGACGATCGCGCAGTCCAAGAAAAAAAAAACACAACCAGTCCTTGTCTTCATAAACTTAAGCTGTGCTTCATCCAGCAGAGTTGGCTATGTTTTTTGCCGTGCGTTGAATGGTGTCAACAGCACTCATGGCATCTCACTCATTTTGTTGATACAGCGAAACAGACTACATTGTAAGTCATCCTGGGAAGTGCCAGATTGAGTGCCTGCATGCATCTGTACCACGTAGTTCCTGACGCACCTTACGTCGCACGAGCACCGGATGCTCAACAAACGGCGCGAACTGGATAATCTCCTTCATTGTGGTGGTGATGGTCATCAGAGGCCGGGGGGAGGCTTCGCATGTGGTCATGTCTACGTCGGAGATGTGGTAGATGTCGTGCTTGTCCACCGTCGTAACTCTCACCGCCAGGCCCTGGAACACCACAAATTTCACCAGAGAAAGTGGGAATATGTTGTACCGTGAGACAAGAACGGAAGAGAGGCAGAAACCCATACAGCAGTAGCTCCAGAACCTCTGATCTTGGGCGCGTAGTTAGGAGAACTCTGGTCATTGTACAGCAGCCAAACTTACGTACCGCCCCACACACCCTTTGCCAGCCTGCTACAGCCGTAGTCAACATGGTTCAAGAGCGACTACCCTCCACACAGCAGTACTCCCAAGGGCACAGCGCCTACCCAGGAAGGTATAGCCAAGCCTCGTTACGTCACTGCTTCTGATTTCCTCTTCTCTCTTTTCTGATGTACACACCTTGGTGCGAATCCTGATTGGCTCGGTGGGCGCCGTGGCCATCTTTACGAGCACACCTTCCCCGCCGAACAAATCCTGCAGTACAATTTCCAAGCATGATTGAAACAAGTTGTGCAGGGGTCGAAAAAGTATTTCATCAGACAGAGGAAGAACAACCCCGGTGCGTATCTGGTAAAGCAAAATGAGCAGCACCAGCAGTGGACCATACAGGTCACAGTGCTAAGGGACTATTCGAAGTAGCTCTTAGTTCCTCTTACCAAACACACGGCACTTCTCGCTACAAACAAGAACAGCAGCAGCAGCAGCAGCAGCAGCGGCAGCAAGAGGCGTGCGGTCCATCTTCGCAACAACAATACCCCGGTTCTTGTTTCTTAATAGCAAGGGTCTCGAGCGATATAACATCGTTCTCGAGCAGTTTACCCTGAAGCAAGTGGCACAAGCCTTGACCCTCATCAGGCCTCCAAAATCAGCCATCAGCACATCAGGGCCTAGCCATCGGCCGACAGCGCATGCCATCATCCACAGCCAGCCAAAAACAGAGTAGTACCAGATACGAGCAATACCGTTTTACCCCTATGCGTTGTAGGTGTATGTTGCGGTCAGGGTGCGTTCAACTGCTGGGTTGTTGTTCGTATCTCGTACTACTCTGTCCTTGTGTTTGCCATCGTCGCTGTTAGCGTTGTTGGTATATTGATTGACTACTGTAGAGGTGTACACAAGGACGAATTGCTACCCCCACCCGCACGATTGTTTCGTCCTTCTCGAACTTTGTTCTATACACCCCGAGTAGGAATAATATGTTAGGGGACCCCATTGTGGATGATGATGATGATGATGATGATGATGATGAATGCCATCGTACCCTCGGTGGTGTAATTTCATCCTCTGTGGACCCCTTCTCATCAAACGGGGGCGCTACATCTTCTGTGTGCCCCCCCCTGATCAACGTATGTGGGGCAGCAGCGTATCCTTGTATGTCTACCGGGAGAGCCA